ATTTTTAAACTGGCTGCCCTTGTATACCAGCTCTTGCCTGGCCCCCTGCACTACTGCCTCTGCTACAGTGGCTGCCGGCTCTGCCCCTGGGGACTAGAGAATAGTCGACTAACTGATAAAAATTCATGAGGTTACTCGACTATTAAATTAACTGATATTTAACATCCCTAGTTCTTGAGTCACATGACCTTAGACTCTTGGTCCTGATAATGCACAAGCGCCATATAGTGTAATTCCCTCAAATAAATCCTCTGTATTTAATGCCCCAGAGGTAATGCCAGGAGGCAGGAATTTAACTGGGAACTCATAGCAACCCAAGAGGGAGAGATTGGTGAGGGGGGGAGTTGGCAATGACAATTCTCTTGGAATTAAGATTGCTCCCTGCCAAAGCACAGAAAGTTACAGATAATACAAGGATCTTCTAGAAAGCTGAGATCATTTTTCATCTGGTGCCACACAATGGAATCTTTTGTGCTCTGTGCATGTTCATGAGCCCAAGTACCAAACAACAGATGTCCTTATCTGACAGGCCATCGGAACAGTTGGTACCTTTGCTGGCAATCTAAAATCACTGAAGAATTAGCTTACAAATGGGCATGGAATCTAAACTCCTTAACTGCTCCTGAAACTTGTCCATCCAGATCAGGATGGAGGTACATTAGGGGAACTTTGCACTGCAACTGTTTGACCTAGACCAGTTCTGTTAATAATGAGAGAACTTAAGTCTGCAAGCCTCTTCTGAATGGTAACGTTCATGAAAGCAAAGTTTCCTGATAAGTTTTTAAGACATGTAGATGAATCCTTCAGTCATGACATTATCAATGTAACTCATTTAAAATATACATATTCTACATAGAGCAATACAAGTCGTCCCAATACAGGGTATTCAAAGTTACATTTAAGATGATAAAGTGAATAGTTGAATACTAAGCGCCATAAACCTAAAAGAGGAGTAAAAAGGTACACTTCTCAATTTAGACAGGGTCTCCATGTTCCATTTACTGTTGTAATCTTCAGCTACGTTTTGCTGGGTAACCCAGCATATTGCCATATGAAGCAGTCTGTCTGGCTCCATCGTTTTTTAAGCTTGCTGCCCAGATACACACACTGGCTTCCAAGAACTTTCATGATTAGTAACATATTTATGTTCAGGCTCCTGTGGTGTTATGATTTTTCAGCATGTTTCCAATTCAATCTGTTTCTTTCCTCATTTAATGTTTTATTCGGATATTGAAATAGCTGCAACAGCGAAGGGAAAGGCAGAGGTTTACAAACACATGACCTATCACAAGGAGAGACCGAATCCAGTTTCTTGCCACCGTCATATGTAGTCATATTAGAATGTCACTGCAGATTGCTGAGAGCTCTTCCTTCCCATTACTTATATAATATGCATAAATATAAGGACACTTTGCATTGGATTAGAATGGGGTTCTCAGCCTAGTGGTCATAAAAAGGCATTGGGAGGCACCACCACCCTGGAGCTCTGATACTGCAAAATGGGAGGAGGCACAGTTGTGTCCTGGCTAGGAAGAATGGAGCGCTAGGGAGTTATAGCATAAAAAGATTCAGAGCCTCTGAATTAG